AGAGTGTCTACTCTATTTGACAAGTCTTCGAATTTTTCCACAGTTTTTATCTACCAGCCTAACCTCTTCCTCCACGAATACCTCTATTGAAGGTTCAATCTTCTCGATATCGATTGCACAAAAATTTTGCTCGATATCCGCATCAATCAATTAATGGGAAGCTCGGTGAACCTCCGCTTCGCGGAGACCTAAAGAAGTTTCCAACGAGCGACGACAAAATTAATCCATCGATGGCGGACAAACCTAGCCACCGATAAAGTCGCCGGAACAAAGCGTCCATCAATTTTCCCTGGTCCGAACAAGGAACGAAAGAAACAAGGTCGTGGCATCGATCTTCCTGCGGCGGAGTAATGGACCCTCGCAATTCCGCCCTTACATGGTCGCCGAGTCCGAGAAAACAGGCGGAAAGTTGACGAAACGACAACGAGAAGAATTAGGGTGCCATTAGCTGAAAGAACCGGAGGAGCTCATAGAGGAGAGGCGGTCCATTGTTGGCAGAAGGAAGCCAAGTTGGCGGATGGTGCAAAACCGGAGGATGTCGAAAGGACGGGCGTGTCTCGTGAAAAAGATTTTAACCCCGGGATAAGAGTGGAGGAGAAAATTTGTTGGGAGGTGCTTGGAGCGGTCCTTCGAGGACCCGAGTGGCCATCGACGTCCCTGGAATATTCCGAAAAAGAACAAGGAGTATTTTGACGACGTGACAACATGGACTGACCAGCTCCCTCTTCGTTTTATCGCTCTATTATTTTACAAAGCTCCTCTTTTTAACGCCCTAGCTTTTCTCCACTTTGCACTTTGCAGGGGATAGCGATGTCACGTTGCATGGCAACCAGCGATGGAAAAATGAAATAAATTGGGCAAAAATTGGTACTTGGATATAAAAGGCAAATTTCATGGAATATTCGATAAATCAAGATCGATTGAGGGACAAGAGCAACGGTGGAGGTCAATTGCGAGAGGATCATTGAGGTCTCCTCGGGTCAATAACGTTATTATTTGACAACGACTTGCATGATCTATGATCGTGAAAGATTCTGGTGTACTTATTAAACTGTTTGTCTATGTTCATTGGAAATAAGAGACTCTAGACGTGAGGATTATCTTCTACATATCTCTTTCTATCTTCAAGTCAGCCATTTTTAATGAATACACTGGTACATACTGAGCCGCAAGAATCTTTGAAACACCCCTAACTATTAGATTAGAAATTGTGTCCTATCTAGCATCGCGTAGCCTAATATCTACAATTCCATTGTAGCGACCTAAATCTGAAGATCAATAGTACACCGATACTCCGTCTCTCCTAGCGCGAGAACAGTGTCGCCATCTAAGGAACCCCTGTGCTTATTGAAAAATCCCTGTCTCAATTAAACCAACTTCATTTTCTTCCAGGAAATAACGCGATAGATCGACAGAAGTTGCTGTAGCAGCTTGGAAGAAGCTGAAAAATCCCGGAAGAGCCTCGCGATGATCCCATCTAGCCATCAAACCTTGGCTCGATAGAAACATTCGTCGAAACAAACAACCGTAACACCAGGCTTCGCCAAGATCAGCCTTAATCTCTTCAAAGCTCGCAACGGGCGATCCCTGGAAACAGGAACCACAAAGGCGAGCAAATCCTGAAATCCTGAAAAATCCAGGCACTCTGGACGATCAGCGGCCGTGAAATCTAGCGGGGTCAGAACGAAAAGCCTTGACTCGGCTAATTAGAGAGGCGGGCCTGCCCGGCCTTGAGAGTCACTGGCCGGCATCATGATGCACGCACAGCCGCCAAGTGCAACGGTGCACGTGTGCATTCGAGCGGCGTGTGCATACGGAGCTATGAATGGAGCGAACTCTGCCCTCGCCGTCCCCGGACACCCTTCCTCCTCCGTCGCACACGGTGTCGTCCCACAGCGTGTAGCTCCTTTCTCTCCTTGCCTTCATCCCTCTCACCCTCCCGCCGTTTCGTT